GTTTATATCGAATTGTTAAAAAAATTCAATATAACACCAAATGTACTAATTGCAATAAACTCGATGAATTAACGTTACTGTTTGAATCTAGATGTGTGTTATGTATGAAATTAAAATATTGCACAACCCGCAATCGAAATTTGAATGCGTGCACACTGCTACCGCATTCGAAGTATATGTAACAAATTTGCATATTATTATTATGAAATTTTGGAATTTCCTCCGAATTCGTTTTTTATTTGCTAATTTTATTTTTCTATTTTCCAAGGATTCTTGAAATCCCCAGTGGCAGCAAGGAACCCTCTAAAGCTAGCACAAGCCTCAGGAGGAAAATCCACATGGTAATAATAACATTAACATACATATTTTTGTACCTATATTAATTAACTTTTGAGGAATTAACAAAATTTAATTTTTTTTTATTATTATTTTTTTAATATTTAGCTTCCAGAGAGATTGGCTGAGAAGGGATCTGAATGTGATCGGATTCGGTTTAATCGGTTGGATCGCACCATCGAGCATTCCAGCCATCGACGGAAATAGCTTAAGCGGCCTTTTCTTCTCGAGCATTGGCACCGAGCTTGCCCACTTCCCCACCCCACCGGCCCTCACTTCCTCTTTCTGGTAATTAATCACCTCAACACATTTTTTTCCCGATTTTCTTCGTTGCGTATTTGATCGTAAGTCGTAACAATAAGCTTATTTGAGATTGGTTCGTTATAATTAACCAAACTTGAAGATGCAAAATTTGTGCTTGATAGTAAAAGAAATTCGCGAGATTAGAGTGAAAATAGTAAAATAATGTATAATAATACAGATAATCGAGCTCGATTCATGTTCTGCTTGATTAAGGCTCGTTTTTTGTTTCGTCGTCGGATTAATGTGTGGACAATTAATTGATAGGTTGTGGCTGGTGTTGTGGCACTTGGGGCTGTTTGTGACACTTACTTTTGGGCAAATTGGATTCAAGGGAAGGACTGAAGAGTACTTTTAAAATGGATGATTATTTTCTGTGACAAATTTCTGTTGTAATATTTGTGTATGATATTTTTATTACCTTGATTTCAATTTCTCGTACTTGGTAATTATTAATATTGCATCATGTGTTTGTTGTGTATTGTACTTCAATTAGCTATACTAATTAGTTCATTGTAAATTAAAATAAAATAAAAATAAAAATAAAAACAGAGAGTAAGTAGTTAAATATAACTCCAACCACCCCCTAGAACTTCTCTTTTGCAAACTTAGGCCCATTGGGTTTGGCCCATCAATATTATATTGAGACCGCGAGTATTATAACTTTATAATAAGAATCAAATCATCATTTTCATCACTAGTTTGAAATAATTCTGAAAGTGTTATTGTTAATTCTTGATGCGGGATAACTTGGAATGAGTAGTTCAAGCGAATTAGAGATATGTTTAGGAATGCTGGTTCGAATGCCCTGACCTACTAAGTATGCGATGCTCGTTCGTCTTTCTTGCAAAACCACTTAATACACTGTGTGACATGACAAGGAGTTCCCCTCCAATTACATTCCAACGCTTAAGTTAGATGATGCCACGTGTTAATAATTAACTCGACACTTGAAAGCAATTAACTTAATAAGAAATTATGTACCTTAAAATAATGAATATGCTGAAGATTAAATAGACGAAAGCTCAAAATATTTTTTTACTATTAAATCAATGTGAGATCAATTACACTGAGCGATCATTTATGGAACTTAGCTGATGATCTTGGTTGTTTCCCTCTCGATAAAGAAGCTTATCCGATCCCCCATTGTCTCAATGAATTAGTAGATCTGTTCCAACCAAAACGGGAATGAGCGAGGCCGCTAGAGTTATGAACTTATAATTTGATGATCGAGTCGATTCCATGATTACAAGTTCATCCCATACCGGACCAAGCTGGAATAGGGTTATATACATTTTCAAGGGGTCAATCGAGCGTATCTAAAATATAAATAGAATAAGCTACATCAATTCTTAACACTAAAGAATTTTATATTATCCTTTAAACCTCAAGGGCTTGGTGACAATTGGTTTAAATCTTGTCAAAGTTAAACCAATTTATGGCCCTAATATGAAATAACTATTTAATTTTAAGCCCATTTCTGCCCAATTGGCAATTCGTATGTAAGAGTTTTGTCTATTTACGAAACACAATAGCCCAATCTAAAAAACAAATATACAGTTAGACCTAAATATTTATTTTTATATATGTATATATATATATATATATATATATATTTTTTTTTTACTAGTTATAAGTTCAAAAATTAGGCCACGTAAACAAGTATGAAATATTAATGTAAATAAAATGGTATTTGACCCTAAGCCACAAGAACAAAATCCCTCTTGATTAAAATAAAATTATCGGATACCTAAGATCACTATAACATGAAGACAAAGACAAATCTTCATAACATGTCACTTAGCTTGGTCAACAACAATTGCAATTTCATAAATTATCTTTTAAATAAATAAATATATAATAAATTAAATCACGTTCTGCAACAACACATGAGCATCGTATCCACCACAAAATAAACAAAATGAATTCAATTATTACACATATCATTACCAAAAAAGTTGCATTCCACGAACAATTATTTTGGGTGGTTGGATAATTTTTGTTGCAAAATTATGTAATTTCAATTATTTTATTTTATTTATTTATTATTAATTATAGATTAGTGGGAAATGTTCTTAGTTATATATGTCAAGTTCACGTTGTTAATTAATCATAGTTAGCAAGAGTATAGAGAATATAAGATTATTATATTTACGAATGTAAGTTTATTCTGTTTGTTCCAATCTATAGCACATGTCCAAACTTTTATGCATGAAATTAGTAAAATTAGTATTATTTAATTTCTAAAAAACCCAAAAAAATATTAATATAACGTGGATTGCCCTAAAGCCCAAGTGATAAGAATTTTACAAACAAGAATTTTACCATTAGCCCCATATAGGGTAGCTATATACGGCGAATGTGACTACATTCAGCCCAACGCAAAGAAAGACGTAAAATCTGCAACATGACATGTACTGGGGAATATTCATTTGTGGCTCAAAAAGAAGCGATCGCGTCTATATACTTTTTTCGTTGAACTAGGCTCAGCTTGCAATAAATGAAACAACTCGTCCGTAACAGATAAATATATCTCGAAGTAATCACATCACTCCCACGTACGGACAGATAAAGGGGTCCACCCACCATCTCTACGACTGATATAAATAGTAAATACAGTTTTGAGGTAAAATGGAAGATTCTCTCCAGTGTCTTGAAACGTCCACTTATTTTGAGTCACCGTACTCATATATTATTCCTCTGCAATTCCGACTGATTTGATAATCGGAGTGCTAACTTTTTACTTAAATGTGAAAACTTTTTTTTTTTTTAATTAAATCGTGTAATGGCCGAAAAGTCCATATATTGTCGAGTTTTATTTAGTAAAATTGAGGCACGAAAATGGAATTAAATTAGATTCGTTGTTGGGTGGGCTATGGCATGTGGGTAGGGTTAAAAGCCATGTGATGGGGCCCCGAATTATTATCCGTATGTGGGTGTTTTATGGAAATTTGTCTAGATTCCCTATTTCAGAAATGTAAATCCCAAATGACACGTGGCATTTTTCTAGCCGTTGATGGGCCCCCCTTTTGTCTGATTGATGGAATTGTGCAATGAACAAACGTATTTTCCTTCCTGCAAATTTACAAATTGATAATAATGTATATTAGATTGTAGTGTTGCAATTATTTATTTTTGCATTGATTGATTGTACCATCTAATATTTGCTTATGACCCTCTTCTTCTCAACTTCTAGCAATTTTCAATTTTCTTGTACCTAATTGTATTATTTGAAACTTTAATTGAATTATTTTTTCATCTCTTTTTAGTTTATTATATATAAAAACAAATTGGCAAATTAAAACCACCCCAAAATATGCTCAAATTACGAAAATCCGCCTTATATTTAAATAATTACAACCACCTCTCAAGTATGAATTGTCTTACAAGTCTACCATTGCGGTGTAAAATTTACGTATTGACTGAGGAATTTTTTTCGTAAGACAATACATACTGAGAGGTGGTTGTAATTATCCAAATGTGAAGGTCTTTTTCATAATTTGAGCTTACATCGGGGGCTGGCCGTAATTTACCCTAGAAAAACAATTACAAGGAAAATGCCTTATTAGTATTATCCAAATAATAAAGGGACTGTCTTGCAAAATCTGCTAGCTCTTTCATAAATCATGGGGGAAGAAATGTAAATGCATGGAACCTAGTCAAACTTTGCAACTATTCATTACATCATTTTTTTACATTGCATGTGTAGCTGTACAAAAATTATATAAATATTTAAGACAATAAAATAAAATACTATATACCTATTTAAATGCAAGATTACTATATATTGCCAGAAAGATGGACCAATCATCATTTTTTTGTATGATGTCTAGCAACATTGTAACTTGGACCTATGAAAAGTTTGGCCATTTTTGACAAATTTAATTTTAATTATTTATTTAATAATAATAAAAAAAATTAGCATAAATGTTAGGTGATATTTATGAAATACTTATCCAAATTGGGTAATGAAAATTAATGCAAAAAATGGCAATTCCCAATCCTTGTCGGCTCAATTGTCATAAAACAAGAAAACGAGTTGAGTCAAGTCAAAGATTTAGGGTTGACATAAGAGTAATTGATAAACTGTCCAAATTAGCTATTTAGTTACTAGGCAAATTAATAATTAATATATAATTATTTCTTATTTAAGCCCATGATTTACAAATAATATATAATTATGTTATTAATATAAATCAAGAAATAAATCACGAGACAAAAGGAAAATTTCTTAACTGTTATTGCAATAATTGTAACATTCCATTTAAGTATTATCAAATTTTACTAATGAATTTATTACAAACCATGAATATTTGAAAAAAATATTTATAAATTCAAATATTTGAATTTCGCATGATATTTTAAATTCTGGTGACGTATAATTACACCATTTATTTAAATTTATTGTCATATTACTAATTAGAGGGGGAAAAAAATGTTCCATACTATATGATTGAAATCGAAGAACTAATTAAACGAGATAAAGTTAGTGTGACGAAAACTTTAGTCTTATTATATATATTTTTTATTCTAAATCCATGTATATATATTAATTAATTTTAAACGATGCTTAATTTGAAGCCAAAGAAATATTGTTAAGAAGAAGAAGCCATCGAATTACACTTTATCTCACCTCTGAAAAATAAAAGAAAATCAAGTGGCAACTCAAAAATATGATTGTGACTTGTAATAATCAATATAAAATAATATATATAAATGGACATATGCCTATAATCGTTGATGAAATATAATATTTTCTTTTTAAATAATAAATAATAATAATAAATGAATAATGATAAAGTAATAATAACAGATTATTCGCAATGCAAATCGGAGGTGGCGGTGATAACCATACACTAGGCTGCATGCTGACGTGGAAGCCACGTCATCACCTCCCTCTTTAAATCACAGACCTCAACTCCCCCATTTGTTTCTCTCTCTTCTCCTCCTCTCACTCTCAAGCTTTTCCTTTTCCATGAAAAAGGTTTGCAGATTCACTTCTTGAAAACTCCATTTCTCTCTCTCTCTCTCCTCTTTCTCTCTCTTCTTTCTCTCTCTAACACACACACAGACACAGAGAAACTAAACTTGAAGACGAAGGCTGGACAGGTTGCCTGAATAGCAACAACACAGTCACATGTTAAATCTCTTTTTTTTTTTTTCCCTCTACTGAGTTTTGAAAAATTCAGAGCCCCACACTTTATTATCGAATAAATTTGCATGCCATCATCAATAAAATCAATTTCTTCCCCTACTCCCCAAAAAAGGCACCAACATTAAAAAACGGGTACGTTTCAATTCCAACCCCCCCTTTCTCTTTCCTCTTTCTTTTCTTTTTTTTTTTGACTGATTTAAAGCATTTTTAGAACATAACAACAATCTTCCACACTCATTTCAATGTGCCCCCCTCAAAAGAGAGAGGTCGATCAATCTAATTTTCGCTTTTAGATCTGCTTAAACTTCTGGGTTGTTTTTCTTTTTTAATTAATTGGAGTGATTCTTGGGATTTTGCTTTTGTTTCTGTGTATTAAAAATTGAGTCTTGATGGATAATACATTGTCTGATATAGAAATAACACAATAAAACACTAAAAGAAAAAAAAAAACATATAGGTTTGTAGTGGGAGATTATGCCGAGGCAGAAGTTAAATATTGTTGATGGGAAAATTGGAGGAAGAAATTGCAAAGTGAGGAAGAGGGGTTGTTCTTCGTCTTCTTCGTCGTCGTTAGCGCATAATTACCGTTTAAAGCGGGCGATTTTAGTTGGGAAAAGAGTGGGATCAAGCACTCCTGTGCCTAGGTGGAAAATGATGAGTTCGAAATCACCTTCGCTGGAAAACGATAAGGGTTTCAAGAATTTGGCGGCGAAAGGCGGCGGCGGCGGCGACAGGGGCAAGGAGTTGTCGATTTCGGCCCGGAAACTGGCGGCAACTCTGTGGGAGATTGATGGTTTGCCTTCGCCGAGGGCGAAAAGGGAAGAAATAAGTGAATTAGGATATGTTAGGAAAGAGAGAATTTTGGAGAAGTCGAAATTGGGCTCAATGGCTCTTGTTTTGTCTGATCTATTACATAGTCCTGTTTCTGAGGTAGGATTTTCGTGTTTTAATCGGACACAAAGTTGTCTGATTCTTGATATTGTTTTAATTTTAATTATTCTTTTATTTTTCGAATTTTGCAGAGAATGGATCCACCGAAAGTAGCCAGCCATAGACGAAGAGTATCAGCCGGTTCACAGAAACTTCTGCAGGCAGATTGCTTTGTTGAGGTATTGTTTATGAATTATGATTAGCTTTTAAATATTGTACTAATATCGTTCGTTTTTATAATCTAGTCCGGATAGTTAAAATCATTTAGCACAGTAATTTCTATTCGCAGTCGAATTTCACCGTTAGATTAAATCAAGAATTTGGTTTGTTTTACGATCAAGAAAGCGACTTTTCTAACATCTGCGAATCGGGTTTTTTTGCTTTAGTTAAATTATGTAGATTGTAGAACAGCCTCGATGTCTTTTCGCTAATTAAATGTGTATTTAGTACACTATTTATTGGTTTTGGAGCTACTTATGGGGTAAGAGATGGACAAATGCAAGATGGGACATAGAAAATTTGTCCGGTTTTATTACGGACGGACACCACACAAAAACCCAACATGTTCTATGGCCTGTCTCCTTATCGACATGTCAAACAAATCACTCAAACGTTAACATTTTTGTCGTGCAATTTACAGATTCTTTAGATGTAAAAAAAAAAAAAAAATCTTCCCACTATTGGCTGTTTTCATGTTTCTTGAAAATGATTTTTAATTATGCAGGTTGATCAGATGAAAACACATGTACAGAGTCCACATAGGCACATAAACGGAGCGAAGAACCGTCTGAAAGATGTGTACAACGGTTTAGTAACTTCGAAAGAGGTGCTCAAAATAATGAGCCGAATCTGCCGATTCGAGCAAGAAAACTCGACAAGCTTATCCCTTTTCTCCGCCCTAAAATTCGAGCTCGACCGAGCATGCGTCCACGTCAGCAAACTGATCCAAGAAAACCGGACAAACCGGACTGAGATCGAGCTTCTTACGAAAAAGTTTGAAGAGGAAAAAATCGTCTGGAAATTAAAGGAACAAGACAGAATTCGCAGCGCAATCAATTGTATAGCCGGAGAGATGGAAACCGAACGGAAGCTTAGGCGGCAGAGCGAGAGGCTGAGTAAGAAACTCGGGAAAGAATTGGCCGAGACAAAAGCATCTCTCGAGGCCGAAAAACGGGCCCGCGAGATATTGGAGCAGGTGTGCGATGAGCTGGCCCGTGGCATTGGGGAAGACAGGGCTGAGGTGGAGGAGATGAAAAGGCAATCAGAAAAAGCGCGTGAAGAAGTTGAAAAGGAGCGCGAAATGCTCCAATTGGCTGACGTAATTCGAGAGGAGAGGGTTCAAATGAAGCTCTCCGAAGCTAAGTATGAATTCGAGGAGAAAAACGCGCTCGTTGATCATTTAAGAAACGAGCTCGAAGAATATTTGAAGTCCAAGAGAGGCAATAATGAAGAACGAGTTATTGATGATGATTGTTCCCCGAGATATGATCCAATTAAGGAGCTCGAGAAATATTTGAGGGAGACTTTGCCGGGCCCCGCTTCAGGCCCGTATGGTGAAGTGGTCGACGATGACGAGGA